CTTTCATCTCTCTTCTCTCTACTCTCTTCTCTCTCTCTCTCTCTTCTGTCTCTCTCTCTCTTCTTCTCACTCTCCTCTCTTCCTTCTCCCTCCCCCCCTCTCTCTCTCTCTATCTATCTCTCTCTCTCCCCCTCCCCCCCCCCCCCCTCTCTCTCTCTCTCTCTGTGTGCGCGCGTGCGTGTGCGTGTGTGTGACCTTCCATCTATTTAGCCCATCTCTTTCTCTCCCATTCCACGAACCTACCTATTTGCTAATTACAAACTTACGAAAAGAAGAGGAAGGAGAGAGAGAATGAGAGAGAAAAAAAAATCACGAGAAAAGTCCGGCAATAACCCAGGTGGGAAGAGTGGGAGAGGAAGAGCAGCGCCCTCGAATTAACTCAAATATTTGCCAAGAGTTTGGAGCTAATGACAAGATATCACAGACGAATTATAGAAAACGGGATCAAATTCCATGAGGAAACAGAAAACGGAGGAAGTCCGCGTTCGAGTTTGCTTTTTTTTTTGTGTGTGTTCGAAATGGTTATTTGTTTCTTTTTGTGTCCACCGTGTTGTGTGAGGGTGGGGGTGTGGTGGTGGGGGAGGTGAGGACAAGTAGGAAGGGGGAAAATAGGCACGTGTGCGCATACACACAACACACACACAACACACCGCACACAACATACACACCACACACACACACACACACACACACACCACACACACACACAAAACACACACACCCACACAAATACACACACACACAACACACACACACACACAACACACACACACACACACAATAGACACACACACACACACACAAAACACACACGCACACGCACATATATAAATTACCTACAGATAGTAGACCAAGAGATAAACAGACAGTGATTAGACATATAGATAGATAAAAAGATAATATACATATATAAAAACGAAGATATGAATTGAGCTACAGAATCAGAGGCAGAAAGAGATAGAAAAAGTCATACAGACAGACTAACAGACGGATACACATCTCCGCAAAGACCTATGTTAATATTTCAAGAGATGAGAGAAGAGGAGAGAGAGGGAAGAGAGAGAGAGAGAAGAGAGAGAGAGAGAGACGAGAGAAAGAGAGAGAAGAGAGAGAGAGAGAGAACGAGAGGAAGAGAGAGAAAGAAAGAGAGAGAGAGAAGAGAGAGAGCGAGAACGATTAAGAACCAAGAGAGAGAGAGAGAGAGAGAGAGAGAGAGAGAAAAGAAATGAAATACAAGTAAAAGGAATTCTTAAGTACAAGGACATATAAGAACAAATGAATCAAAAGAAAACGAAAGAAAGAATACAAAAAAAGAAAGAAAAGAAAAGAAAAAAAAAAGAAAAAAAAGTAGAAATAGGCCTATCCATCGACAACCCCCCAAAATGCCTGAGATTTTCGGAAATTTTTTTACTATTATTATTTTTTTTTTTCTGTTCCAACTTATTTTGTCTCCCCTTTGCTTCTGAAATCCTAACAGCAGAGGCAAGAATGTGTTAAGCTCAGCAGGAGAAACATACATGTACTTTCTCTGTCTTTCTCTCGCGCCTCACATTTCTCTCTCTCTTTTGTTACTATTTTCATTATTATAATTTTTTTATGATATTATCATTATTATTATTGTATTGTTGTGTTGTTGTTTTATTATTATTATTATTATTTATGATTATTATTATTATTATTATATTATTAATTATTATTATTATTATTATTATTATTATCCATATTAATTACTCATTATCATCATTATTATTATCATTATTATTATTACTATTATTATTATTATTATTATTATTATTATTATTATTATTATTATTATTGGTATATATTATTATCATCATTATAATTTTTAACATTATTATCATCATTATAATTTCTAAATTTATTATCATCATCATAATTTTTAACATTATTATCATTACTATGGCGATTGTTATCATTATTGCTGTTGTTATCATTGTTGTAGTTAATAATAATAATTATCATTATTGTTAATGATGTTACTATTATATCTATTGTCATTATCATTATGATTATTATTATCGTTATTATCCTCATCACCACCATTATCATCATCATCCTCATCCTCAACATCATTATTATCATCATCAATATTCTGATTGTTATCATTATCTATATGATTTTCACTGTACTATCATCCTTATCATTGATAATACCGCATTATCATCCATACTATTATCATTGTTATTACCATTACTGCTATCATTATTAATATCATAATCATTATCATTATCATCATCATCACCAATATCTTTATCATGAATTAAATTGACTGAATTTCGATCATTATTATCATGTCAATGAACAGCTGATTATCAGTCGTTTTATCATGAATATTTCTAAGTTATCAGTAATAATATTGAAATTATCGACAACCTTACTTTCATTAGACCATCATTAAAGTCGTCACTCTCATGACACTCACTTTCACCGCCTCTGTCACTGTCATGACACTCACTTTCACCGCCTCTGTCACTGTCATGACACTCACTTTCACCGCCTCTGTCACTGTCATGACACTCACTCACCGCCTCTGTCACTGTCATGACACTCACTTTCACCGCCTCTGTCACTGTCATGACACTCACTTTCACCGCCTCTGTCACTGTCATGACACTCACTTTCATGTCACTGTCATCACTCACTTTCACCGCCTCTGTCACTGTCATGACTCACTTTCACCGCCTCTGTCACTGTCATGCACTCACTTCACCGCCTCTGTCACTGTCATGACACTCACTTTCACCGCCTCTGTTCACTGTCATGACACTCACTTTCACCGCCTCTGTCACTGTCATGACACTCACTTTCACCGCCTCTGGCACTGTCATGACACTTTCACCGCCTCTGTCACTGTCATGACACTCACTTTCACCGCCTCTGTCACTGTCATGACACTCACTTTCACCGCCTCTGTCACTGTCATGACACTCACTTTCACCGCCTCTGTCACTGTCATGACACTCACTTTCACGCCTCTGTCACTGTCATGTCACATGCACTTCTGTCACTGTCATGTCACTGTCATGGACACTCACTTTCCACCGCCTCTTGTCACTTCATGACACTCCCTTTCACCGCCTCTGTCACTGTCATGACACTCCTTTCACCGCCTCTTTCACTGTCATGACACTCACTTTCACCGCCTCTGTCACTGTCATGACACTCCCTTTCACCGCCTCTGTCACTGTCATTATCACCATGAACAATACTAATGTCCACAATACAATCTCCGATCCTTTTTAAAGCACTGTGATATACGCTCTGATGAAAGACTAGAAATTGGGATTTAAACTCTAAAAATAGTCTTGATTAAAACAAAACAAAACAAAGAAAGAATTACCAAAAAAAAAAAAAACAAAAAAAAGCGTATACTTATTTAGAGAGAGAGCGAAAGAGAGAAGAGAGAGAGAGAAGAGAGAGAGGAGAGAGAGAAGAGAGAGAGAGAGAGAGAGAGAGAGAGAGAGAGAGAGAGAGAGAGAGAGAGAGAGAGAGAACGAGAACGAGAAGCAGAAAGAAAGAGCAAGAGAGAGAAAGAGAGAGAGACCGAGAGAGACCAGGAGAGAAGAACAGAGAAAAAAAACTTAACATTTCCAATAAGCGAATTCAACTCCCAAGTACAAACAATGATCCCCGTTTTCTATGCGAGGGGAAAACGAATGGTCGCCGTTTTCTTCGCCAAGCTTTGCAATGATTACGCTGTTGATCTCGTCATCAGCGGTGCAAAGCCAACAGGATTTGATGTCGTGTTGCAGATAGACGGCGACGCTGCTTGGCGCTCTATCGGTGACGAGAAGAGGGGGGGGGGGGGGCGTGGGGAGAGGGGGGAGGGAGGGAGAGAGGGAGAGAGAGGAGAAGGGCCATTGGGGAGGGAAAGAGGAGGGAGGGAGAAGGGCATTTAGGGATTGGAAGGAAGAAGGGCTATTTGGGAGGAGAGAGGAGGAGGAAGCTATAGGGGAGGAGGGAGAAAGGGCCATGGGGAACGAGGAGAGAGAGGGAAGGTTTTAAGAGAGGAGGAGGGAAGGTTTAATGGGAAGGGGAGAGGGGAGGAGGAGAGGAGGAGAGGGAGGAAGAGGAGGGAGAGGTAGGAGAGGGAGGAGAGAAGAGGAGAGGGAGGTTGGGAAGGAGAGGAGGGAGGAGAGAGAGGAAAGGAAGCGAGAGGGAGAGGGAGAAAGGAAGGAGGAGAGGGAGAAGAGAGAGGAGGAGGGGGGAGGAGTGTTGAAAAGGGGAGGAGGGAAAGGGAAGGGAAGAGAAGGGGAGAGGGCAGGAGAAACAAGAAAGATTAGTGGGAGAGAATATAGGAGAACAGTAGGGAAAGTAAGAGGAGGTAAGGGAAGGAAATTAGGGAAATTAGGGAATTAGAGGGGAGGGTTGAATAGGGGGAAAGGGAGGAAGAAAAAATAGGAACTGTGTGAATGGAGGAAGGGAGAAAACAGAGGAAAGGGAAGACGAGAAACTGATTTTAGAAGATGGGGTGAAATTAAGAATGAGGAAAGGAGTAAATAGGGAGAGAAGGATTATGGGGAGAGAGATAAGTTTAAGAAGAGAGAGAGAGAAGACGAGAGACGAGAGAGAGAGAGGAGGAGAGAGAGAGAGAGAGAGAGCTGAATAGGAGATAGAGAAAGAAGATGCGAGGATGAACGTCAATTGCACCCCAAGAATATACATCCCCGCCAGACACACGTACACACGACACGCGAGAGAGACTGAGAAGAGAGCGAGAGGAGCGAAACGGAGCACGAGATGAGAACAGACACGAGAACATCATCACACAGAGAACAGACAGAGACACACAGCAACAGACAAGAGAAACGACAGACACACACAACGAGCAACAGACGACAACAACACAAACGAGCAACGACGACACGTACTCGCAGATCCGCAAGATTACATAAGACAAGAGTACTGACTGACCACGAGACTACAAAAGAGTGCAGAGACCGTAGAAATCCGGGAACACCTACTACTACTCAAAGACTATGGGGATTGAGGAGAAGAAATACACCACATTCCTAAAAATCTCCCCTGTCGACATGTGGCTCTTCTCTGTTCTCTGCTTACGGTTTTCAACGTACAAGGGGACACAGTGTGAAGGCCCTGTAACCTCTGAGTATAGACATAGTGGGGGAGTAAGGCGAGGAACAGAACGGTGGGCGCGCAGCGGCGTGTAGTATCCGAACCCCAATTTGCTACTCTAACCTGTAAGACACATTATTAGGACTAATCGTCCCTCGGTNTCACGCTTTCAAACTTACACACAGACACACACTCAACACTACAACATTACAGACACACACACACGTACAGACATTACACACAGGACACACAAAAGACAACACACACGCGTACAAACACAACAACACACATGTTACAAAACCATACACCACAGACACGCAAACACACACAAACACATGTACAAAATACACACAGACCACCACACAACGTTACAGCCATTACACACAGACACACGTACAGACATACACACAGACACACAAAAGGACACACACCACACATACAACCATACACACAGACACGCAAACACACACAACACACATAACAGACACACACACACACGTACAAATACACACAGACACACAAAGACACACACACAGACACAAACCTACACACACACACACACCCAAACAAAACAAACACGAAAACAAACAAACAAATAACGCGCCATTGTATCATCGAGTCAGAAAAAAAAAAAAAAAAAGGGGAAAACGATCAGCTACCGCCGGGCCATTGAAGAAGGGTAAGGCAAGACGACGCCATCCTGAACCCGCTTCCTCCAAGAAGGTAAATCTCCCTCGGTGGGTCGCGGGGGGGGGGGGGGGGGGGGTGGTCTCAGGGGTGGAGGGGGGTGGAGGGGGGGTGGTGGAAGGGGGGTTTCCGCCCTCCCCTACGTGGCTGGCTGGCGGGCGTCCAAACCCTGGCCTTTGCGCTGTGGGCGGCTGAGTGGGTATGGGCGTGTGTGAGGAGTTATTTATATCTGTGTGCATTCAGTTATAGAGTTATGCGTACATGGCCCCATATAAATACACACACACACAGGTATACATACATACATACATTACATACATATATATATATATATATATATATATATATATGTATATATATATATATTATATATATATATATATATATATTTATATATATATATATATATATATTATATATATTATATAATGAGTGTGTGTGTGTGTTGTGTGCGCGTGCGTGAGTGTGCAATATGAAGAGGCGAGAGAGAGAGAGAGAGAGAGAGAGGGAGATGAGGAAGAGAGATGAGAGAGAGAGAGAGAGAGAGGAGGAAGAGAGAGAGAGAGAAACGAGAGAGAGAGAGAGAGAGAGAGAGAGAGAGAGAGAGAGAGATGAGAGAGAGAGGAGATGAGAGAGAGAGAGAGAGAGAGAGAGAGAGAGAGAGAGAGAGAGATGACGAAAGAGAGAGAGAGAGAGAAAGAAAGAAAGAGAGAAAGAAAGAGAGAAAGAAAAAGACAGACAGAGACCATATCCCTACCCACAAAAAAACACCTTTATATTCCCAACCGGCGAAACACTATACCAAACAAGCAAAAAAACAAACAAACAAAACAAAACAAAAGCAATACATGAAAAAAGGAAAAGAAGAAGAAAAAAAAATCAAGCCAAATCGCCCATGTTGACCTGAAAAAACAAGCTTTCGATGTTGTTACTTAAGTGAACATGGGACTGCAACATGGTCGGTCAGATGCACTTGGCTCTAATGTTTTTTTTTTCTTTTTTATTCTTTGTTTGTTGTTTTAAAATCAACATGTTAAATCTGCTGTTATTGAAAAAGGCAGTATTTAAAATATGCTGTTATTGATAAAAGGCAGTATGTTAAATCTGTTGTTATTGATAAAAGGCAGTATTTTAAAATCTGCTGTTGTTTTAAAAGGGTAGTATGTTAAATTTGCTGTTATTGAGAAAGAGTATGTTAAATCTGTTGTTATTGATAAAAGGCAGTAGGTCAATTCTGTTGTTATTAAAAGAGGTAGTATGTTAAATCTGCTGTTATTGATAAAATGCGGTAATTTAAATCTGCTGTTATTAAGAAACCAATATGTTATTAAGAAGGCTGTTGTTAAGAAGCCAACATGTAAATTCTGCTCTATTAAGAAATCAGTATGTTATATCTGCTATTATTATGAAATATGTAAGAAATAATCATATTTCTTCTGTTATGATACAAAAATCTGCTTGGTAGAATATTGTCCTTAAAAGAATCGGCTTCTTAGATTTTTTTCCTTATTAGGAAGTCAACATATGTAATGTTTGTAGTTGTATTGTGGTAATCATTTTTTTTTTATATCTTTGCCATTAATAGGAAGCCAGTACGCTATTTTTTTATCGCTATATCAAAACCTTGGTCATATTCAGTCTGCCGTTATTAAGAAATCGTTGTTATAGAAATGCTTGTAACTATAAAAGAAATAAAAAATCCGTTGTATTCCGAACTTTAACTATAAATAATAAATAAAAAAATCGTTGTATTCAGAACTTTAACTATAATAAATAAAAAAAATAAAACTAAATCGTTGTATTCGAACTTCAATATCATTTTATATTCCTCAAATAAAGGACGGGGGGGGGGGGGTTTACGTTAAAATGTGACAATATAGATGATAGCGAAAATTGTGCTAATGATTAATGCTAACCATATAAAAGATAACGATGATAATGATAGTGATAATAATAATGATACTGATAACAATAATAATAATTATTATATTGGAAATAATAATGATGATAATATTAATGGAAATGATGATAAAAAAATTATAATGATAATAAAAAAAATAATAAACAATATAATTACAATGATGATAATAAGATAACATAGTAATGATGATAAACAACAACATAATGATAATAGCAATAATGATTAAATGCAAAAAAAATAATTATTTCCTACAATAAAAAAAAAAAAAATTAAGAAATCGACTTAATATAATTTCCCAGCAGAAATCGAGACCCCCCCCTTACCCCCACCCGACTTCTATTCCCCACTCCCCGACAGCCCGACACCGACAACCAGCAAACCGACACCGATAGCCCGACAACCCGACAACCCCACAGCCCGATACCATCTCCCCGACAACCGGAAAGCCCGACAGCCCGACAACTCGACAACTCGACTCCCCGACACCGATAACCCAATTCCCCGACAACCCCACAGCCCGATACCAACTCTCCGACAACCGGAAAGCCCGACAGCCTGACTCCCCGACACCGACAGCTCAACTCCCCGACGCCGATAACCCAATTCCCCGACAACCCCACAGCCCGATACCAACTCCCCGACAACCGGAAAGCCCGACCACCCGACACTCGACTCCCCGACACCGACAGCTTAACTCCCGACAACCCCACAGCCCGATACCAACTCCCCGACAACCGGAAAACCCCACAATCCGACAACTCGACTCCCCGACAAACCCCTACAGCCCGGAAAAACTCCCCGACACCCCGACACCGATAACCCGACTCCCCGACAACGCCATCTCTCCCCGACAACCCCACAGCCCAATACCAACTCCCCGACAACCCCACAGCCCGATACAACTCCCCGACCCGGAAAACCCGACACCCCGATAAACCCGACTCCCCGAAACGCCATCTCTCCCCGAACAACCCCCACAGCCCAATTACCAACTCCCCGGAGCCACAACCGACAGCCCGGACAACGCCATCTTCTTCCCCAACAACCTCACAGCCCGATACCAACTAACTCCCTGACAACCGGAAAACCCGACTCCCCGACAGCCCCGACTGCCCGATACCAACTCCCCAACTCCCCGACAGCCCGACAACCCGACAACCCGACTCCCCGACAACCCGACACCGACAACGCCACAGCCCGACAGCCCGACAGCCCGACAACGCCATTTCTCCCCAACAACCCCACAGCCCGATACCAACCAACTCCCCGACAACAAGAAAACCCGACATCCCCGACAGCCCGACAACCCGACACCCCGACTCCCCAATTCCCCGACACCGACACCCCCGACAACCCGACTCCCCGACAACCGGACACCCCGACTCCCCGACAACCCGACTCCCCGACTCCCCGACAACGCCACCACACGGCCGACTTCGCAACTACGCTCCGGGCTGCGGGTTCGCCACTCACCCCTTCGCCGCTCCCGACCACGTGCGGTCGGGAAAGAACCTCGGGCCATTTTGTTTTCGGGGTGGCGGTTCCGTTCCGAATTCTTATCTTTTGATTTTCTTCTTATTTTCTATTTTTTTTTTATTTCTATTATTTCTATTTCTGTTATTATTCTATTTTTTTCTATTTCTTTTATTTCTATTTCTATTATTATTCTATTTTTTTCTATTTCTATTATTTCTATTTCTATTGCTATTCTATTTTATTTCTATATTATTCTATTATTTTATTTCTATTATTATTCTCTTATTTCTATTTCTATGATTATTCTATTATTTCTATTTCTATTGTTATTCTATTATTTCTATTTCTATTGTTATTTCTAATTATTTCTATTTCTGTTATTATTCTATTAATTGTCTATTTCTATATATTATATTATTCTATATTTATATTTTATTATTATATTATTTCTATATCTATATTATTATATTGTTTATTTCTATTGTTATTCTATTTTCTATTTCTATTATTATTCTGTTATTTTCTATTTTCTATTATATATATTATTCCTATTTTATATTTATTATCATTTATATTTTATTTTATTTCTTATTTCTAATTTTATTTTTATTTCTATTATTATATTATTATTTCTAGTCTAATCTATTTTCTATTTCTATTATTATTATGTTATTTCTAGTTCTAATTTTATTTTCTATTTCTATTATTATTATATTATTTCTAGTTCTAATTCTATTTTCTATTTCTATTCTTTTTCTTTTTTTCGAGTCTTGTAAAGATTGCTTTTGCTTCTAGAAGATTCAGGGATTTTATTTTTTT